CTTTTAACGAGTTTTTGAATTTCTGAAAAATGTTGATAACTGTCCGAGTTACTGGGTGAAGAGTGGGAGTCTGTTTGCGAGTTTTAAGCTTGCCAATATTCAATTTTCTTCCAAACTGCTGCAAATGCAAATTTTCTCATAGACAGTGAATGTGTCGAGAATACCTACACTTTGCAAAGCAACTGATGTTCTATTTTGAAAAAGAGGTAGTCGAGGTTAAAATGCAAATTATTTTATACGGGAAATTGTCTTTGCGACCTTAAAATCATCAGAACTTCCAAGTTGTTCAACCGATTGCCATTTTCCGAGATGCAGCTTTGATAGAAAAACGAACGTTTTTCAAGAAATTTCAAAACTTCCAAATCGGCTCGATATAAACTTTTTCGAAACCAAAGCTGTTTTTGCAAAAAAAAATGGCATTAATACTGGCAAATGACCCAAATAATGTTAGCTCAAGCAGGCAACCGAAATAATAGGCATTTTACGACATCCTGGCGGTCAGAAATCATTCATCAGCAAAACCCACAAGTTGCAAAGCAGATAATTAGTTTTTTTCCTAATTAGCAATTTAAATCCCCACACTGAGAGAAACAACACACAACAACGCATTGGAAAACAATGGACTATAAAACGGAAATTGACTTATCCTTAGCAGCACGTTGCAGAATGGAATTAATTAGCTGTACAAGAATAATAACCTGAGCGTAGAGCGGTGGGGTACGATTAAAAAGGGGAACAATTTTATTACCTTAATCCCCTCACATGCTAGTTTACATTTGATTGGCAGTAGAAAGAACCGTTCCCCGCCTATATTTCAACTGTATCCTCCCCTCTGATTGGTTGCATACGATCAAGTGGGGGGCAATAAAATCAATTTAATGCCACCACTTGTTTCAGCTCATCATAAACTAACATATTGTGACGTAATCACGAGCGGGATAGGAATACATGCAAATGGGCTTTGCATATGTAATGCGTTTTCCGATAGATCAGCAAAAAATCAAATGTTCTTGCACTATTTTATATTAACCGACCAGCTGTTAGATACGAAAACGCGAAAGCAGATTGACACTAATTTTGAAACGCTCTGTATATAGATTGTGATGGAAAAGGTGAAAATATTTATATAACTGAATAGGATCCGGTAAAGTCCGATTTAGTCTTTTTAGAGCTGCGGCACGATTGTGCCATTTTCATGTTAAAAGACACTTGATTTAATTCATATTGTCCCGCAAGTTAGGAGGCTTTTAATTGAAGCAGCTGTTTTAACAGGCGGCTGATAAGTTTTTTTGGCAGGAATGTGAGAAAACGTTTTGCAAAAAACACGATTTTCAGCCCAGATAAACAGTAGTATTGTTTCTCACTCAAACTCTGCTGTTTCCCTATGTTCAAAAATTGTGCTTCTTTAACTCCAATTCGTAGGACTTTAGCGTCTTTCTCAGAGACAAATTAGAAATCAAGGATACAAAGCAAATCAATAAAATCAACGCAAAAGATTGGAAATCATATTTTGCAAATCTGTACCGAGAAAATGAGGAAACCTCTTTTCAGAAACACCATGACAGAACAAGGGGAACCAAATGAATTAAAGAGCAGCAGAACGATACCAATTTTTAAAAAGGGACAGAAAACAATCTTGGATAACTACCGCAGAATAACGCTTCTCAACAGCATCATCAAAGTAGTCACCAGGACGATATTAGAGCCGGCATATGCCCTTTTAAAAAAAAATTAAAAAAAGGTCGCTAGTACAATTGAACTTTCCATTTTTTATCAAAAGTTAGACTCAGTTTCAGCTTGTTGGAGCACAGATAAACTAAGCTTCCCGAAGACTTTAAAAAAAATTGCACATTTTCAAACATTTTCTGTCTCCTAACTTCTCTGAATACTTCGTGCATGAAGCCAAAGGGTGCGCAGCATTGAAGATAATTAGAAGAAAATCGTGTAGGTTTAACTATGAGTGAGATACGAAGAAGATAACAATTTATATGAAGCTATTGGAAAGTGAAAAACCTACCAAGTTTGAGTATTTTGTTGAAAGAATTTGAACAGCGCGAAGAATTCATTATTGCAGCCTACAAAAAATCAAAATATCAGAAGATTTAAACTCAGTTTCTGCTGGTTGGGGCACAGATAAACTAAGCTTCCTACTTTAAAGAAAAATTGCACATTTTCAAACATTTTCCGTCTTCTAACTTCTCTGAATACTCTGAATACCTGAATGTTCAGTTGAAAGCAACTGAGAGGAGCAAAGAATTCACTATTGCAGCCTATAAAAAATCAAAATTTCAGAAGATTTGGACTCAGTTTCAGCTTGTTGAGTCACAAATAAACCAAGTTTGCTGAAGACTTTAAAGAAAAATTGCACATTTTCAAA